AACATACACGCAAAGGACTTTTTCCAACAAACATAAAGAACTTTTAAAATTCAGTAGTAAGAAAACACAGACACAGAGTAAAATTGGGCAAAATTTGGACTCTTTTTCTAAAGAAGATTGAAAATTGGCAAATAAACATAAGACTTTTATACTGTTACTTATTAGGAAAATGCCAGTCAAAATCATATGGAAGTGTATATGGTGTTTTGTGCTATATAACAAAATATCTGAGATTAGATAATTGATAAAGAACAAACCTTTGTTTCTTACAGTCTGGAGGCTAGGAACCCTAAGGTCAAGGGGCTGGCATGTATGGTGGCCTGCTGGGGTCTTCCAAGATGGCAGCTTACTGCTGTGCCCTCTGGAGAAGAGGAAGTCTGGTAGAATGTGAAAGGGCAAGAGGCCTGAAGACTACATGAAGCCTCTTTTTAAAGAGTTTTAATCACAATATAAGAAAAAGGTCATTATGACCTAATTATCTCTTTAATGAGTAAACAGAGGTTGGTCTACAGAGGATGTGAAGAGTGTCCAGAAGCAAAGAGAAAAGCCACCAGGCCCCACAAAGACAGAGACAAAGACAGAAAGGAATTAATACATTACCCACAGATCCCCGATCCTTCTTGCAAGTAGTTTTCATGAAATTTCTCTTTAATAAGCTCCCATTTAAATTGAAGACTCTCTGAATAAACTTTAGCTCTGAAAAAATAATTCTTGACTAAGAAAATCTTTGAACCTCATTGGGATTAATATTTGTTCTGGAAAACTTGATCTGTTATACGATGAGTTCCTTCCATTCTGATTCTACAGCATTTTATTTTCATCCTACATGTCTATGCTTGGGAGAATTTTAAAAATGCAAAAAACCCCAACAAAACAAAACAAAAAAATGAAACTGGGAGACTAGGGATGTGGCTCAGTGGGGGAGTGTTTCCCCCCATTGAGGGGGAAACTGAAAGTTCAAAGCTCTAGGTTCAATCTCCAGCACTACAAAAGATTAGAAAAAAATGCCAGTTAAATGTCTGTGTTTATATGTAATCCCTGGTAAAATTCATTTTAATTTTGCTTAATTAATTTTGTTTAACCTTCCAGAACATCTCACACACTGGAATATGTTTGAGTCTTTGGCAAGCAAATTGCAAATTAAAGAAAAATTGAGAATAGTGTATCTATTGCTTTTCAGAAGTCTGTATAATAGTTGCTTCTCACATCAGAAGAATTGTCCAGGGATTCCCTTTAATTAACTCATTCTTTCCTTTGTGTACTCAAAAGCAATGATTTCATCAGAAGTTCAAGATGTTATTCCAACTTTAGCAGGGAGATGTTGGTGGCAGATAAGAGAGCTTTAGTTTACCGTGCTGTTACGATGGTCACCCAAACAGAGGACACCCACAACTTGCAGGATGCTGTAAGTGGGACTATGTGTTGGACTGACTGAAAGGCTTGATCACAGCCCATTATGTGAGGTCAGAGACATAGAACAAAGAACTGATGAAACTCAGATTAGTCAGTTTGCCATTTTTAACCACACAGGCAGAAAGACTTGGTGGGAAAGGACATAGGAATTTTGGCTCAAAGGAGCTTTTGGCTTATCTTCAGATTCCAATTATGCATGGCTACCCCCTTCCCTCATTACCACAGATAAATAAAACATCAGCTTAGAGTTCAACTTGACAACTGGGGGAAAACAAGGAATATATCTTTGCAGCAAAATGTGGGCTGTATCTATTTGTAGCTCATATATGCTTCAAAAAGACAGGCCGGCAGAAGCAAGGGTGCCACTCTCTACTGCAGAGCTGATGTGCACAGGCACTAAAACAGTGGGTGCTCCCTGTGCGACTCAGCTTTGGGGCACCATTTCCTCTGAATATGGTACTCATACAGGTTGAGGGAGAAGGGGCGCCTCAGCCACCTGCAGCACCAATATTACCTACAGCTTTCATGGGTATGTTTTGCAGTGGGTTCTCATGAATGAACCATTCAGCTTCCTATCCTGTGTCTGCTCTTTGTTGCATCAGAGTTAATCCCAGACTGGAAAGAATTCAGGCTTTCCTCAGTCTCCCAAGGTCCACCTACTCTCCTTTCTACCAGCTCCCACCAGACCTGATTTTCTTCCCTTTCCAGCCACCTTTCTGCTTCAGCTGCCCAGGGAGACTCCATCAATCAGCCTTAGTTTCTTCATTTGGAATATGGGTGTCTTGGCAGTCATGGATGCCACTGGGCTGGCAGGACACTTCAGGGAGTGTCATGTGAAGGCTGTGGTGTGTGGCTGTTTTTGGAGTTTAGTTGGCGGTGATGGTGGCTGATGCTCTGTGCCATCTCCGTTTCTCCGCTGTGCCTTCCTTCATGGACAGATGCTCAGTGCTTTCCGTTTCCTACCTTCTCATCATCACTAAGCTTCCTGACAGACTTATCTGTGCTCCCAGCCTCCTCTCCATAGTTACCTTAGTCCTGAAGCTGTCTCAGGCTCGTTTCAGCCCACTGCTCCTAACTGGGTCATTGTCCTGCTTCAGCTTCTAATTTAGATGTTGCAAATCTAAGCTCTCCATGTGATGCTTCTCTTACTTCCTCTCCTATATCCAATAGGTTACTAGATTTGCTAACTTGTGCCATGGAAACATTAACTTCCTTTGTACTTCCACCATTGTCAAAGCCAGCCTCCTCTCCATCTCTGATGGGGTTCTGATCACAAAATTCTGCTCTGCATAATATGGAGGTTGTGAATGAGGCTGCATTTGATGTCTCAGATGGTTTGGTGCTCCGTGGACACCCTCCCACAGCTGAAAGTCTTTATGGAAAGGAAAATGCCATCCTTTGCAAGTGGGTTGTCAGTGTATATTTATGGTTATGCTGTTTATGGCAGGCAGGGCCTGTGATAGGCACTTTTCCATCACTGGGACAAAGCATCTGACACCTACAATTGAAAGGAGAGTTTTAATTTGACTCATGGTTTCAGTGGGTTCAGCCCATGGTCAAATGGCTCCAAGCAGAAAAGGCATGGTGGAAGGGGGTGGTAGAGAAAGGCTGTTCACCCCAAAGCAGTCAAAGAACAGAGAAAAACTGGACAAGTCAGAGATGAGAATGTACTCTTCTAGGTCACACCCACGGGGACCTACCTCCAACCAGGCCCCACCTCGTAAGAGCACATTAAGCTATGAACCCATCAATGGATGTATCCACTGATGAGTTTAGTACTCCACTCAATAACCTTCCAAAAGCCGCACCTCTGAATGTATGAGACTTTTTGGGGTATTTTCGATAGAAACCATGACAGGGTCACAGAGATATGCATACAAAATAAAACCTTGGTATCTAGCTAAGTAAGAGGAGGAACAGGGTTGGAGAGGGAGGCACCAACCAGTGAAATGGACCACGCTGTCCTCAGGCACTCCCTTATGGCTGGACCCCATTGTCTTCATAGGAGCAGTTTCCAAACAAACTCAACTTGACTCAGGGGCTTTGGAAATCCAGGGCACTGAAGCTTGGACTAAAGGCTAGCAAGCAAAGCAGAGCATTGCCAAATGGCAGGTGTTGAGATTTTCAGCAGAGACCAAGGGAGCTTTGGACCTGGGCACATTCACAACAGACATGAAAGTAAAGTCTGCTTTGCTCACAGGAGCTTGGAAAGAAACTGGGAAAAGGACAGACAGACTATGTGGGATAAATACGGAGAGGGGATATGCACCAGCTTGTATGGCCCCACCAGGGATTCCGGGGGACACTACAGAGCGTGACAGTCAACACTGAGGTGGCATCCACAGAGGTTGATGGATGACTCAGAGGCCTTATTTATTATTGTTATTTTTGCATTCTCACATAGTGGCTTATAGAAAAGTGCTTTGTCAAGAATTCCAGACTCAAGCATGTGCAAGTGACATCAGGCTGATTCTAAGTGGAGCTTTTCTTTGACTAAGGCTGCAAGATAGATGGCAGCAGGAACACTGCAGGGAGGGAAGGGTCAGCTGAGTGGCACTGTACCGGGACAGCAATAATACTCTGGTCCCTCCAGAGTAAACTGGTGATCTGCAGCCCAAGGGACTGCAGCCCACCTGCTGGAGAGCAGCTTTATTTCTCAGTGACCATTTCTGACTCAGTTTAAAAGTACCAGCAAATTGCGGCATGTCCATAATTCCAACACTCTAGGAGGCTGAGGCAGGAGGATTGCAAATTTGATCCCAGAATAGAAAACTTAGCAATTTGTCAAAACCTTGTTTCAAAATAAAAATAAAAGAAGAGCTGAGGATGTAGTTCAGTGTGAAGGGCATGGGTTCAATCCCCAGTACTGCAAAAGACACAAAAAACATGTCTGCCCTCAAAACCTCAACATCCAACAAACTAGCTGCTATACTCATGACACTGTATATAAATTGCATGTATTTATTTGGGGGGGGGTGCTGACTGATCTGTCCCATGAGTTTTGAAAGGAGATAATTGCTGATTACATGAACAGGAATGATACAAATTCCGGCCATTGCTACCATGTTGAACATGTGCGTGAGACTTGGATTCTTCTTCATAATGTAAGGACGACTCTAAGGAGAGTGAGACTATGTGGATTTTTCTTTAGCTCTGTCTATCAAGATATCTGTCTGTCATTTGTCACTGGAAACAAGACTGGGTTGCAAAGAAGAGAAAGTGTTTGCATGAATGTTCATCAGTAGATAAAAACAGAAGCTTTCTGGAATCACAAAACATTTTCCTTATGCATTTATTTGTTCTGGTCTTTCTTTTTGTTTTTTCTTGAAGCTTGTGGGTTTCTTTTAGATTCAGGAACTCAAAAGGACCCATTATGACATGGACTATTGGACCCCATAGTCTGGCCTTACATATTACTACACTGTAGTATATTCCCATTGCTTAGAAGCAGAGCTTACCAGAGCCCAGTGAAACCAGAAGATGGTTTTGGTGATAGCTCACTAGCTGACCATGGATGACATCATCCAGGAAATGTAGGGTTGCTTGTGCTGTAAATATCTCTCAGAAAGATTCAGCAGTCAGTATGATCCTGCAAAGCATCTTTGGAGGTATAATCCCATGCTAAAGAGGGCTGGGATTCAAGGTGTGCTTTCCTTTGGGGGCCACTTGTAACACGGTGGCCAGGTTTCACTATACCAGCACTGACTTGTGATGAAAATCCAGTCAGTGTGAGTAGCTTCTCTGGAACATCTGGGGCCTGCAGCAGCTGGAGAAGAAATGAGGTAAGGGTGAATGTCCAAAAGAAAGAGGGGCTAGAGTGGGGAGGATATGAGAAGACAAGCTACCCAAGCCAACATGAGATAATTGCTAGCATGACCCAATTCCTCCTGATGGACTGGACTTTCCTTGGGCAAGTGCCAGATCTGAATTATATCTTTCACAGAACTGATAGTGCGGCATGAGCTGCATACACAGCTTGTGACCAACAGCTTAGGCAAGGACCTTTGGGAAAACCACATTCACGCTGATGCTGCAGGACAACCCAGTGATATCTCAGTCAGCCAGAGGCACAGCCAGGAGAAAAGAGCACCAGAAGTTGAGCTCGTAACACCAAAGGGACACCGCCTTAAGGACAGCAATATTCCAAGCACATGATAGCATGACAAGAAACCGTAAACAGGAAAACCTATGAGAGGCCCATGATACTGCTCTGGAAAAACCCAACAAGGCACTTGAGTATCGGCCAGAATTATACACTGGCTGCTCACACTTGGCTGGATAGTTGGCTCTGGGGAGAAGTTATGATCAAACACTCCCTGGGTATGTGCTCATAGAAATTATGAACATTTCTGATTCTGGAGCTACCCTGGGACTAACCTCAGCTCCAAGATTCCTTTGGTTCAAGTAAACAGAAGGGGGCCTCCCAAACTCCTGTTGGTTCACTCTATTGGACAGGCTGCACTGAGCTTCTTGTGACATTCTGAACAACACTTCTTGGTATAGGCAGTATCAACCCACTTGGGTTACGAAAAGGTAACAGGGTAAGTGAGGAATCCAGGGCACTGGGAGGAATAATGACGTAGGCTTCATCAGAGTAATCAGCACTTTCCTGTTTTTAGGCTGTGTAATTACAACGTCTGCATACAGCTGGTGATGCAGCTTCCTGCACTGACTCTGTCCGCAGCAGCCCTGCCCTCCCTCTGATTTCTGCAGTGCGTGCATCACCGTGAGTCTCTCTGTATATAAAACACTCTTTACATTTTAGTTCATGATACCTGATGTAATGCACCTATGATGAGCCTGTAATGGAATTCAGAGATGAATGAATGATAGCCCATCCTTGTCACAAGAATTTATAGTCCAGCAAAAGAAATAAGGGTGTAAATGGTACTACAGTGGCACAGAAGTTGGAACTTGGGGACCAGTCTGGCCAGAGGGGCTCACAGGAGTGAAGACTTACCAGGATGTTTCTCACCAGAGGCCGTGCGTATGACTTTATTTAAAACCAGAGGTCTAACCCAAATGAAGAATCACTATGGAAAATCATAAGGAAATATGAAGCCAGTAAAGCTGGAGTGGTTAGAAACTAAAACAAAAATAGAAGTGAAAGATAGGAAGCAGGGAACTGAGAACAATGGAAAGGGGCCTGGAGCTCTTGCCTAAACGCTGGTTTTCACACCTGTGGGGGCCACCAGGACAAAGCAGGTCCAGCAGGTCTTAAGCAATCAGGAAAACGTGATCAGGAATCAGGCTCCGGACATAGTTGGGAAACAGTTGGATAAGAAATGTGAAACAGAAGGAAAAATATACACTGATTCTGAGCTCCTGGCTCATGTGAGGTATTCCTGGTAGCACGAGTTGATGAAGAAACTACCACACGGATTGAGGGGAAGCAGATTTGAAGAGGAAGGCGATGAGTCCATTTGGGGCACCCTTTATCTAAGATTTTCAGGAGACTGCACCATACAGTAGTTGGAAACACAGTCTTTTCACTCCACAGTTTAGTCAAGACTGGAGACTGCATGTAGGAGTCATTAACAGGTGGAGCAAAGGACACCAGAGAAAAGGAACAGCTGGCCCAAGTTGGGACCTGGAGATCGTCACATCCCCAGAGCAGGTGGGAGTGTGAAATCCTTCCTGGTGGACGGCAGTGGTGGAAGTTTACCTGCAAATGTCCAGAAGCAAGTGTGACATGGGAGTAGCAGATGACAAAGGAGCAGTTGTTTGAGAAGAAAACTCAGTTGGAGGGAGGGTCTTTGGAGTAGAGGGTGTTTGGCATGTTTGAAAAACATGAAAATGAGCCATACAAAATAAACCCTGCTCTCAGGACTCTCTGTGTGTGTGTGTGTGTGTGTGTGTGTGTTGCAAATCGTGCTATCTTGCACTTAGAAATAAATTTTTTCTCTGCATTTCAGCCGTTGGCATTTTCTCTCTCTTAGTAATCCCTTTGAAGACAAGGACTGTGGCTTTGACTTCTTTTGTCATTCTAATAGCTCCATGGGTAAAAATTGAGCGAATCATGAATGAATGAGTCATGAATGAACCTGGCCCCTGCTCTCTGCCTTTTGTCTCTTAGATTACCTGGGCAGGTCTAAAAAGCATCAAGTACCAGCTGCTCTTCATCTTAAGTGGGCTGGGATGTACCTCTGAAGATTATCTGCATAGACCTGTAGGCATTAATTTAATAGGAAGCAGGTGAGGAGAAAAACTCAAGTTACAGTTGAAAATAATGATAATAATTACTTAGTGGAAAGAGAATATTTCAAAGAAACAAAGCCAGTTTCCTTTCCTCTCTCTCTTAAGTTGCAATCACCTTCAGAATCCTACTGAGTTGAAAGGTCCCAATGTGGCAATTTGATCCATTTGCCATGTTAAGCTTTATTCCAGGTGTTTCGGTTAGTTGTGCCAGGGTACATAGTACACTCCTTCTTAACATGGTCTAGATCAGGTTTGTGAGCCATTGCTAACCAAATAAAGTACAGAACAGGTGGTTGGCTTCATCGCTTGACGTTTGTGAGATGTTTGACATAGACCTGCTAGAAACTGTCCTCCTCTATCACAACTCGCCCTCAGCTGTTCTCTTCCTGGATACAGCCCACCCTGTCTTTTTTTAGCACTCGATTACAGACTAGTTAGCACCTGATAGTGCTCTGGCTACTTACAGTATAGCAGTTACTGACGTTTACCCATACTTTATCTTATCTCTTTCTCACATCAGTCCCTTAGTTCCTGGAGAGTAAAGGCCCTGACTGATTCACTTTTATGTTCCTATCATACCACGCAGATTAGACGGTGGATAAATATTTGTTCTTCAATAAAAACTCGGTGCACTGTCTCATGTGTTGCTGAACTTCACCTCACCTTCTCAGCTACAAGATGAGGAAGTTGAACTGGGTTCTATACGGCCTCCCTAAATGATTCTGTCTTCTGTTTTCACTCCATGTATGCTGGAGATTTATTTGTGAGAGTTAATCTGTGTCTTTAGCCCTGCGTTAGTACATAGTGGATTTAGAATTTGAAATCTGGCTGGGGAGATGGAAATAACCCACATGAAAATAGCTCAACATAGGACAAGCTGTTTGTACTGACTTCTGAGTTGTGTGACAGGCCCTCAAGATGAGAAGACAAGCCACCAGCCAATCCCAAATGCCTAGACTTGGGTAGTGTGCCCTTAGGAATCCTCTGCTGTTATTCAGGACACTTTGGGAGGGACAGCACTTTAGGCTGGGTCTATCCTTAGCTAATGATAATAGAGAGAAAGAAACAGCATGGAATCAGTCATCAAGCTTTTCCTTCAAAAGCAAGTGAAAGGTTATAGATCCTCAAACTGCTGTATTTTGATAGAGGATTGGAAAGGGATAATTTGGGAAGGTCTAGGTATACATATGGGTAGGACATTGCTATGTGAAGTGGACTTCAGTTCTAGGCTTGAGTGAGGACCAAAAAAAAAAAAAAGGTCATATATGGGAGAGGAGAGAGTGACAGGGCAGCCCCCTAATTGGCTCTGCTAAGAAGCATGAGGCTGGAAAGAGAATGGAAAGTTCTTTACCATGTGGAACAGGGAACTCAGCCAGGGTCCTTCCCACATATGACGTGTGCATTCTTCCTATGCTGCTGGTCAACAAAATCAGCAGATGCATATATGGGTGGAGCTCCATTTCCCTTGGCCCATAGAACCAGAGGCCTGTCCCATCTCCCTCCTACGCATGCCTCCCATGACTTGACAGCAGTACCCCTAAGGAGACCGTGTTGGGTAGGCTGATCATGACCCGTGGGTGACACTAAATAAGTGCCACTGCAGTTTATAGGCTTCATCTTCATGCAGGCCCCTCTTGGAGACAGAAGAAATAGATGAGACGAGTCCTGAGAGGGCAGTTGAGAGGGTTGGGGAGGTCTTAGCATAGTGACCTCCTCTCTGGAGGCCTGGGCCCTTGCCACCAAGCAGTGTTGGCTTCAGTTTCCCCAAATTTTGGAGAATTTCTTAAAGAAAATTCCTAAATCTGTCTTCCAGGCTTTGCAGAGCCTAGCCTCAAGGGTTGTTATCCCTGGTAACGTAAACATTGGGGCCAGGATCACTGCCAGCATCACAAGACCTCTACGGAGTGCTAGGCTGCCCGAGGTTGAACTCTTGGTTTTCAGGAGTATTTCCATTGCGTGCGTGAGTGATTCTGTGTGTGTGTGTGTGTGTGTGTGTGTGTGTGTGTGTTAAGGACCTGTGTGAAGTGCTCCCTACATTCTCTTGCTGGCAAGGAATCATGAAAAGCAGCATAAGAGGGGAGAACAAAGACTGTGAGGCCCTGAGTTCCTTCTCAAGAGCTCTGTTCCAGACACAAAGGGGGCCCTGGCCATAGGCAACGAGAAACCTCCCAGACAGGAACTCAGAGGCAAACAGGGAGCTTTCCCTGCTCCTCTGTTTTCTTAGCTTGGCCTCAGAAAGGTGTTTTTGCTTTAATCACCCTCAACGCCAAGGAAGTGCCCTGAAATTGTGGCCTTGGGCTTGCTTTGGGCTCAGCTCCACTCCAGAGACTCCATTTGAAGTAGTAAGTATAAAGGTATCCACTGGGCAGTTCATTTTAACTGTGAGTCAACTTTTCCATATTTCTGCAAATATTTGCATTCAGGGCCTGGCTAAAATGTATATATTGACGTTACAAAGACTAGTCCCAGGTCCCACGGACTTGAAGAACAGATGAGGAAACCCCTTATTTAGTAGCAATAACTATATCATTAGTGCTTCACTCATTCATTCATTCAACAAATATTCTGGTGTAACACAGTGGGGCTCTGTCCTCACAAAGTTCCTGATCTGGTAAGGAGGTGGCAGTCACTGGAGTGAATTAAGAAAGAAACAATGACTAACTGCTGTGGTTTGAATGTTTGTGCCCCTTCACTCCTATGTTGAAATCCTATGCCCCAGGGTGATGGTATCACAAAAGGTGGGGACTTTGGGAGCTGTTGGGTCATGCAGGTAGAGCCTCAGGTTATGGGATTGGTGCTTGTTATAGTTTAGGTTTAAAATATCCCCTCAAAGTCTCATGTGCCTGGAAGGTGATTGGATCACAGGAAGACAATACTCAACAGTTGGTTCATCCGTAGATGAGTTCATAGCTGAGTGTGCTGTTAGGAGATGGAGCCTGGTTGGAAGGATGGAGCATGGCTTGGAAAGGTATATTTTTATTCCTGGTTCTCCCTTAGTCTCTCTGCTTCCTGGCTACCATGGGTGAGCAGCTTTTCTCTGCCAGGACCCTTCGTCATACTGTTTTTGCCTTGGAATGGTCTGACCCTGGACTCCCAGAAATGTGAGCCAAAAAACTTCTCCCCCTTTAAATTGCTGGTGAAAGTGGCTAACATGGTGCCTTTGTGAAAGGGAACCCAAAGAATCTTTTGCCCTCTTGTACTGTATGAAGTCACAATGAGAAGAACTCTCCTGTGAACCAGGAAGCTGATCTTCACAGAGCTGCCAGAACTGTGAGCAATAAATGCCTCATGTTTATAAGCCTTCCAGTTTATGGTATTTTGTTACAGCAGCCAGAAGAGCATAACATGCTAACTGTGCTATGATGAGACAGTGATGAGGACTTTAGTCAGAAAGGTGTGGCAAGCCACCCCTCTGAGGAGGTGACACATAAGCTGAAGCCTGGAAGAGACATAGTGAGAATTCCAGGGACAGGGAGGGATAGTTGAGCAAGAAGGAGACCTGAGTTCTAGGCAACGCTAGAAAGCCAAAGGTGCAAGAAGTGAGGTCAGAGGTGGACCAGGTTTGCCAGGACATGTGGGTGTGTGGACTTGTAGAAGGGCAGTGATGTGCCATGAAACTGGAGATGATGCCTCTGGTGCTGTGTGGAACATGATGGATGGAATCAGAAACTCAGTGGAAGTTCTCCTAGAAAAGATGGTCCATTTGGGTCTATAGGAGGCCTGGACACCGGGAGGGTGCAGAGGCCTGTTTCGGGCAGAGAATAAACACAGGATTGCAGGATACTTAGGCCTGTGTGGGTGAAATAAAAGATGCATGCTTTGGAAGAAAAGCCACAAAAGAGGGCGTAGAACAGCAAGGCGGCTGCAGGCTTGCAAGTAGTTTGCAGGTGATGGATGCATCCTGCAGGCTGAAGTTCACAGAGGCCCTCCCACATGCTCCTCTGGACACAATGGCTGGGCTGGAGTTAGTGGCGTGGCCTCAGGGATGAAGGGCTGCTAATTAAAACCAGGTTAGGGTAAAGATCATAGGTCACAGTGACAAAACAAAAGAGATTGACTAAGTATCCCTTGCCCCAGTGAATGCTGATGTGTTCCAGCATCCCTCTGGGTGGTTGCACCAGTGGTCTCTGCACTGCCTCCCTTGAACTGGGCAGCCATGGGCTGGTATGTGCACCCTTCTCAAGCCTCTCTGGCTTAGATCCCAGGCTATCTTCTGAGCAACAGGGTCCATGAAGATGTACACTTTCTCCTACCCTCATCCATCAAGAACACATGTCCTACCCATCACTGATACTTCCTTACATAGTGGGCCAGGCCCAGCCTAAAATGGAACATGGAGCCTACTCTGTCCAGCTCCAAAGCACTGGATACCAGTAGGTATCTGATGACTTGTGTGGTGGTGATGGCAAGCTGCAGCATGTAAGAACATCGGGGTCTGCTCCAGGGCAGCCTTGAGGAACTACTGAAGAAGTTGTCTCAAGAAGCTGAGACAATTGCTCTCCTTGAATCTCGGGTGGTACAGCCTTGTGCTCAAGGGCCCATAGTGACCTGCAGAGAAAAAAGGGGGAAGCCTGCTGTGCCTGAGTAGGGCACAGCTCAGCTCCAAGCCAGTGTTTGGGAGTCCCTGGGGTCCCTTGAAGGGGCAGGTTGTGGAGTCTGGGTGCGTTGTTGTCCTGTACTACCATAGTGTTCACCAGGAGGCTGGCTGTATGGCTGTGGGGAAATGGTGTCAACAAGGGACCACCAGGAGAACTTATATGAGTGCAAGGAGCCACATGCCTGTCTGAGCCTCCTGTGGCCACCTGGGAAAGACTGGGGCTTGGGGACTAGACAGAAAGCTGCACGCCAGAAGAAATTGTGGAACCACAGTTGTTACTGTGACCGTGATGGTCCTTGCAGAGTTCAGGGACCTATGATCTTGTTCTTGGGCAGACATTACCTCAAAGTCTTGGTGGAGAACTCAATTTCAGGGTCCCATATTCATGTTTCTTATGTGTACTCATGTTTTTGTTAGGCATTATTTCATACAAAAGATTGAAGATTTGTATTTTATTTTATTTTGTACTTTTTTTCTGTACTGGGAATTGAATTTAGGGACTTTGCACTGAGCTATAGCCCCAGCCCATTTTATTTTTTATTGTTAAATAAGGTCTTGGTAAGTTGTTAAATGTTCAGGCTGGGCTCAATCTTGTGATCCTCCTGCTTCAGCCTCCTAGAGAGCTAGGATTAGTTAGTGTCATGGGCCACCATACCTAGCTAATTTTAAAAGTAACTTAGCAAGTTGTATCTGGTTCACAGTTACCCCATAGCTGCAGTTGTGGAGTGATGCCTGTGCTTGACAAATGGTAGGATGACATTTAGCTGGGGACTGGCCCAGTGGGCAGTCTTTGGAGCAGGTCTGGGAAGCCATACTATGCACAATTCATGCACAAAGCCCATACCCAACTTCATAGATTTTTCTCTTTCAATGTCCAAGGCTGATTTAAAGAATGACTCCAATGAACCATGATCATGGTAAAAGATTAGTAAAAGAATGAAGTTGAGATAACCCATTTTTAACAATGTCAACATTTCATTCCTTTGTCTGGGTCTGCTGTAATCCACAGTTAGGAGATTAGTTAACTACTAATGAATGAATTGTAAATTTTTGAAAGACGCATGTGAGAGAAATAGAAATTGAATAAACTTGGAAGTTTGAATAAAATAAAGTGGTTGTAAAGACTCTTCCCACAAAACCCCAGGTTAATTATAGCATCTCCATCTGGCCAGTCTCAGATTCAGACTCTGTGAATCATCCTGGACTATGCTCCCTCCTCCGACCTCTAATCTAGTTGTTCATCAAATTCTATGGATTTTGCTAGATTACCTAATCTTGCTCATGCTTTCTCTGAGACCAAGGAGATAGAAATACCTATTCTGTAGGGTGGTAAGGACGAAATTCCTTAACAGAGAGCAAAACTCTGTGACAAGTACAGTCTGTATCGATGCATTCCATTAAGTCAGGCATGGTATCTACCTTTGGACAATTAAAGATTTAACTCTTGTCATTCTAGAAGAAGCACCCCATCCCACACCCCACGCTGAGTCACTCAGGTTCCAAGGCTCTAAGTGAGCCAATGCTAGGGTTTGGAGATAGCTTGAGTGTGTCTCCCAAGGGTTCATGTATTAGGGAAGCTTAATCCCCAATGTGGGAGTGTTGGGAAGTGATGGGTCCTTTAAGAGGTGGGGCTTATTGGAGGTGATTAGATTATTGGGGGCATGCCCCTGAAAGGCATGAATGCAGTTCTCATGGCACCTTGTTTAATTCTTAAAAGAGGATGGCTAGCTCCACTTCATTGTCTAGCTTTCTGTTTCACTATATGCTATGTCCCTCTTAGACACACTGCTGCCATGATTCCAGCTGCCATGGTGTGGCATAGCCCTGGGGGAGCCTTACCAGAAGTCTAAAGAAAGAGGCTACCTGATCTTATATTTTCAGCCTTCAAAATTGTGAACTAAGTAAAATTTGTTAAAGTACCCAGTCTCCAGTATTTTTATATAACAAAGGAAAATAGATTACAAATCTAGTAAGCTTCGAAAGGTAAGAAATTCAGAGAACTTGCTTGAATTGTTTGTTGGGGTGGAAGTGCCTAGGGGTATGGGCTAGAGAACTGGGGACTGGCAAACTCCAAAGAACCCATGATTTACAGCCATCAGGATATAGCACAGGCAATGGCTGTGTGGATTTCTGGAGGAGACTAGATCACCAGGACATCTGTTATGGGGTTCTGTGTCAAGATTTGTAGAGAGGAGAGAGGATGACTGTGAGGACATCTGTGTGGACTCCAGGAGATGACCAGGAGATAGACTAGTCCTAGTCCAGAGCAGGCTACATTAGACCTGTGGTTCTTCATAGATTGCAAGCCAGACAGTTAACTGAGGAAGATGGTTTGGTCTACCTTTATCAGAAAACTGAAAATAGTCACTATTTACCTAAAAAAGATAAAGGCTATGGCTGTAGCCTTCGAAGTTATGGCAGTGGTCCACAATCTTTCTGAACCTCTCAGGAGAGTAGACTTTTCAACACTGTGAAAACTTGCCCAAACACTGGCACACAATTGTCTCTTCTTGCAGAGTTATGGCAATTGATCTGGCAGTTTTCAACCCAGGCTGCACATTAAAACCATCTGGGGAGCTTTTTAAAAAACACCATTGCCAGATTTCCTCCCCAGAGGATCTGGCTTAATTGTTCTGGGGTGGGGCCCAAGTACAGGTATTATTTAAAAGCTCTCTGAGTGTTCTACTGGCAGCCAGAGTGGAGAGCAACCTACCCAGAGTTGCATATATAAGGGCCTGAGGACGTGGGCCCACAGTGAGCTCCTGCAGATTTCACACAGGCATCAAGGGCAAGATCTAGGTCACTGGGACATGGCAGGATTTCACAGGAGTCTCATTATCCAAAGACATGAGCACCATATTTCAGCCCCCCTCTGGGACATCCTCTGCCTTGATCTAGCTAGCAGAGACTGAAGCAGACTTGGGACTTGGAAGCAGTTTGGTCCATCCTAAGGGTCTGGAGCTGGGAGCAGGAATGAAACTGCAAGACTTTTGTCTAGGAGAAGGGATGGTAAATTGTCCCTTTGCCATCTGGATGGGCACTTCTAGAACCTTCCAGTGTGTGCCACTGGCAGCTGCTTCAGAGGAAACAAAGCAAGTCCAGAGACCGTTCCAGAACCCCCAGTGAAACCCATGGAAACCTATTTGTTTCCTACTGCCATGTTTGCCATAGTGCTACAGGGCACACCCTTGCCTCAGTTTCTCTACTATGGGGATGGAGTTAGGACCTCCAAAGGAAAGGTGTAGAGGGGAGAAAAGTGTGTGCACCAGACTTTGAGTCCCAGCTAGCACTGTGTAGTGAGGGAAGGGGTGGTGGGTACAATCATTATACCCTGTCACTTCATTCCCACTGGTGTCTGCAGGATGCAGATGGGGAAACTAGATACTGGAGTCTCCCAGCAGATCAAGAATCTCAAAGCAGAATTAGGCCCTGGAGCCAGGGGACAGAGAGCACAATGTCTTAAAAGAAATAAAACAAAAGAGCTGAAGGACCATGCTCTGAGAATCTCTCTCCTTAGCACAGGCTCCTGGCTATGAAGGAGGGACCCAAGGAGGGATCCATTTTCCTGCTAGTGTATTCTTATTTTAAAAAATAGTCCTTGAAAATCTAGCAAGCATTAACATTTTTTTAGGATTTTTTATTTTTATATTATCTGTGTTAAAGACTTAAGTCCATTTTAATTTTACTGTTTAATGGTAAATACTGGTACTGTATATAGCACAATTGTTGGTACACCTGTACTTCAATTTTAAGTCACCTTCATTTTTCAGACTAAACAATATAACCATGAAACTTCAATTTGCATATGTTCCATAGGTTATTGCAAAAAAGAAGAAGGAGACGAAGAAGGGGAAGGAGAAGAAAAAGAAAAGCCTGCTTCAGTGCATTTGAAGTATGGAACAGTGATCATTTTAAATCACAGTCAATTGCCCAGCTTTTCACTTGAATAAAATTCAGGTACCATTTAGTTCACAAAGATAATTTTACTTTGAGATTTACAGCTGAGCCTCTCATCTAAAGCAATCTTCCTCACCATCCCCCAGCCCTATTTCTTTTTTACCCTCAAACCCACAAGGCTGCATTTAAACATGATGAATCAAGAGTAAAATATAATGGAAGTAGCTGCTGTATTAGAAAAACGTACCGGGAATCTCTGAGAATACATGATATATTTCTTTCATAATATCAAAAATGGGGCAGGCTGTGCTTTGGAGTGAGGCCACTATGGTGTCCCACGTAGGAAGTGTCCCCAGAGAACCACAAGTCCCAGGCCTGAGTGCTCATTAGTAAGCAGGTCAGAAGCCGTACTCTGGAGAGGCCCAGCCAAGTGGGGTCACTGCCAAGGAATGGGAGATGCCCTGGTGTACACGACAAATTCTCCAATGCGTTGGGTCCATACTTAGCACAATCACATAGGAAGCCCTATTCTACGACATGAATCTCAGGCCCACCTGCTTTCCTGTGTAAGATGGACAGGCATGCTTGCTCCTGTGTGGTATTAAGAATAAAAAAGGAGCTATGAATGACATGCAGGAAATCCCTGGACAGGGCCCATAGAGCAGATCCACAGTGTGAGCCTCACAGGCACTGAACTGTCTCCTAAAGGCAGAGGGAAAAGTGCAGTGTTTGGATAGGTTCATGGAGGGCCTTTAACATTTTACTTATTTATTGATTGATTGAATGAAAGATTGCAGTGTTGAGGGCAAAAGCCAGAACTTTCACACTGAACTCAACCTCCAGTCTTTTTTATATTTTGAGACAAGGTCTTGTAAGCTCAAATTTGTAATCTTCCTGTCTCAGCCTCCCCAAGTGTTGGGGTTACAGGCGTCCACCACCATACCATGGATGGCTTTTTACAAACTTAAGATTCAGGGCTCTGTAGATGGTGATAAATATCCTGAAGACACTGGAAAGAGATTTAGGTTTGGCAAGTTTTCATCTCTTGCTTCCGATTCAGTCAGAAGGAAGGATGAGGGAGCTGCCAGACTAATCGTCAGGAGGCAGCACAGCAGGGTTTCTTTTTAAAGCATATTAATGGAGAAGGCTCTGCTTTTCTTTTCAAAGATTCTCTGCCAGTCACTCCAGAGGCAGCAGCAAGGAGCCCAGTGATGCATTCAGCTGCTTTACTCTGCCCTCACTGTGGTGGGCCAGGTAATAGCAGAGAGCATGCTGAGAAATAGACTCCCAGGGCACCAGGCTCTCATCTCGCCTGTGCCCACATGCTGCAGTGTGCCAGTAGCTGAGGAGACATGAATGACAGAAGGTGACTCCTAAAACGGGATCATCAGGTGTCTTGGAGAGTTCATCATCCAGCTAAAAAAAAGATAGGACTCCAGTGAGGAACAATTTCAGAAGCACTGTGAGAGAGCAATGTTTAATATGATGGGGAGCAGAAGGGAAGGGGTTCTTGTGACTGCAGGAGGGAGTCTGAACAGGTTGCTCAAATGAGGAGAGGACAAATTCTGGACAGAGCAGCACGTAGCATGAGTCATGGGGGGGAGTGGAGGCGGTAGGCATAACTCTTGCTCTTATGGCGCTGACATCAAGTGATGCTTGGGGACAGTTGTGACATAGGAGAAAGAGGAAGCTTCATAGACAGATAATGTATTCAGTCTAGCTAGAAAAAAATGAAGTCATTGATGGAGGACTGAACAAGTCTCCTTGAGACACTGGCGTCTAATTCAGAGCATGGGCAGTGGGTGAGCAAGGCTGGAGAGATGACGGAGTTGGTCATTTCAGACAGGAGGTAGACGATCTTCAGGAGGATGGGGTATTTTAAAGAGCAGCTCCTGGAAACACTGTCTTAATGGTCAGAAGTAAAGCACAAATCTGGAGCACAGAGTCAGACTTACTAGATGCTATTGGGTCAGGTCCTCTCAAATCACTGGATGGAGTTCCTTCTCTGCTTCTGGGTGGAGCTGACACTGAGCTATGGAGTCAGCACCAACATGTCATCTTCTAAGAGTCAGAGTTCCAGGGCCCTTAGTCCTTGGACTTTGTGACCAGGGCAGCACAGCAAACTTGTCCTTTGCTTCTCTGAGCCCGTGAGTGAGTTCTGTGAAAATCTGATTGCATCCTTATGTCTCTTCTCGAGGGCTTCCAGGAGGATGACATCACACTGGTCTCAGGGACGAAGAAACGAACATGGTCCTACGCTGGCTAGAGATAATTAAGTAGGATTGCAGTAAACTCACACTTCAAGGTCCTTGTTTGTGTGTCGTAAAGATCACACATTCTCTCTTCAAAAGACCTCATGGCTTGATTTAAATGTTTGCAAAGATGCTCTGTTTTGTTAAAAATATCATATACAATGGGACCTTGGTGCAAAATACAAGAATGTGAGATCTAAACATCATATCACAATGTTAAATTAAGTCAAGGAAACAGTGTAAACAAATAAATGATTACAGCTGGGTACCTAGTAGAAGTGAGATCTTCATTTTACAAAAAAGAAATCATCAGTCTGCTCATTTTAAGAGAAGGCCCTGCTTTGAATTTCCAGCCCTATTCTTTCTGTACGAAAAAGGACAGCGAGCTGAGGTTTGGGTCTGTTTTTGTAGCCACTCTTTGGCAGACAGCAAGAAAGAGCACACAGCTATCAAATCAGCCTCTCAGTTGGCCCAGAGCATCAAATTGGCCTGGACATGATGGAGTCTTTTCAGCTGCATATAAACTTGGCCTTTGTGTCTCAGGCTTGTGGATCTGGCACTTCTCAGGATTGGTAAATAAGCTTTTTTAAAAAGCCCAAACAAACTATAAGGAAATCTTGCATGCTGAAGCAAAAGGCATAAAAGCTAAGGGGAAGCCCACACTGCCATTGTGTCCCTTGCCAGGATGCAGAGCTGTTGCCTCTGGAGAATGATAACATGAAAGAGACCATCATTGCAGGGCCAGGCTTCAGGACTTACGAAAACAGGGCAAAAATTAGTAAGAAAGCAGTGCCCCCGTTCTTTTAGTTGGGCCCGAGGGGGGAAATCAAAAGAGTAACTCCCTCCTGAACTTGATGAAGAGTCTGAGTGGGGTGAGGATGAGCAAGAGCCCACTATGGGAACACTTTCAGGAAAAACACGAGGGCGGAGGGAAGGAAAGGACAGAATGATGTAATGCCAGCCAAAGGAACTAAGGGGAAGAGGGTGTGTTTTTATAAACATGTTTTGTGCAGGACGAGTGTGGAGAAAGGACAAGTGACCCTTTAAGGAACAAGAAGAGAGCTGAAGGCTAAACAGCTCTAAATTAGCTGAGCTTTTCAAGTGTTTTTAAAAAATTATCTTACATGAGAAAAATAAAGATAAGGGGCAAGGACAGCTGGGAAATAATGAAGATGCTGGCAGTAAACTATTGATAAGGTGGGGTTAAGGGTTTATTTAGAAAGATTGAAAAACATGCAAATGAGAGATGAAAACAACAGTATTTGGGGGCCTTTGATGGAACTAGAAGAGGAATTTGCAATGTCATGGGAGGAGTTACTATTTTGCAGTAATAGGGAATACTAGAAACAGGTGTTCTAACGTTTTATGGCATCTTCTACTAATATTGTGCTTGATAAGTGCATTAACTGTCGCATTTATATACAGCAGGATCTCAATTCACAAACTTAATTTGCTCTTCTAATCTGGAAAAGATGACCTTGTTCTTGTTAGTAGGGGAAAGGTAGTCACAGTTGTGTTCGTCTCCCAATGCAGAGTTCCCAAACAAAAATAAAATCTTGCCACATGCTTCTTGTTTACAAACCAAATTGTTTGAGAACAAAAGTGTTAGTGAACCAAGGCACTGCTATGTGACCTGGTCCTCACCTCCTGCATCAGTAACAACTTAACAGGATTGACTAAAGAAAAAAAATGTTTAAACCTTTTTTGGACATGAATTAGAAACAAAATTATGTCTCCTAGTAGAAAACTAAGGTATTAAGTAATCAAAGGAATTATTGAAGATCCAACATCAAGACAGTGACTAAGTTATGGCCCATTTTCTACAGTTTACATCTCTAAAGGGAGAGAAAGAAAGAAAGACCACAGAGGTTGGCCTGTGTCTCAGGTGTCAGGAAACCTTCCAGATAAGGGGCCTCACAATTTGGTGGCAGCTTCTTGCACTGGGGAGTCATCACAGAAGTGGATCCTGCCCATGTTGACAATACCATCACTGCCACAACTGGGTTTTTCCAGCCACATTCTAAATTACCCTCGGATAATAGCTCAGCTAAAAATCTGAACCCAAAATCATTCTTTCAACCCCTAGCCCAGACTCATTTCAGGAGTCCTATTGTTTCTTGAGAATTGCAAAATGAACATGTGCTACACTGCATGGTCCAGGTGTGTGTGAGGAATGACGTGTGGATTCTGCATATAGCCCAGGCCATGATGGGCTGTGTATATTTGGAGAATTTAGAAGAAGAGGTGATAAATAGGGCTAAGGTGCCTTGCACACTTTGTAGGTTACTCCTGCTGAATCACCCAGTCCTGATGCAGACTGTCCTCTGCCCTGGATCGTGTCCCTTTCAGCTTCTGCCCCTGTAGGCTGGGCAGTGCATCCAAGGTCTCCCTGCTGACCCATGTCACTCACTGCCAGCCACCTGATCTGCAGCCTGGCTTTCATCTGCTGTGCATCAATGGTAGGCAGTGAGGAACATGCTGTGCCAAGGAAGAACGGTCTCTTCTTGGCTGACTCAGCCTGGAACTGGGAGGTGGGGGGCATCTGGCATTTGGCAAAGCCCTTGGTTGTCCTTTATGAAATATTAACTGAAAATGGATTGCATTGGCCTGGTTCTAAGAAGGTCACCCAGGCTGGATTTGAAAGGCAGAGGCACTGTGTCAACAAAAGGAAGAGATAAACAGCCTACTGCTTCTCAGAGCTAATGTGTCCGACTGTGTACCTCCCGGATCAGCTTTATATCTCTCCACAGATCGGTGTGTTTTTATGACAGTCATCTCCATAGCAACCAGGTGTTCAGGCGCTAAATGGATCTCAAGGCTATTCAAGCTCAGCCCAGGGAGGAAAGCCACTCTCCTTGCCAGCAATTGCTCATGAGGGCTGGTGTGGGTGACAGGAGTTGTAGGGCATCCTTCTCAGGTCCTTGCTGGGTGTCAGGGACAGCATGATGAGAGAAGAGCCTTCCCTTTATCATTTTTACTAATAATCCAGCAAGAAGGATAAAGAGAGGGTCAGTTAAACTAAATGGGAAGGGGTTGCAGATACCAGTAACCAGAGAGAAATGATGCAGCTGGTCATGGAAGAAATAATCTACTCAGTAGGAATTATCCTACAGAACCCTGGGTTGCTCATCCGGGATTCATTATTCTACAGCAAGAGGGAAGAAGAGACACACAAAGCATAATTATTTGAGGAAACTGGGGAAGAAAGATGACAATTAAATCCCAGGTGAGGACATGGCACAGGAAGACTGACCTGGGGGTTGGCCAGGGTTGAGTACCCCTGGCTGACTGTTAAC